ATAAAAATACAGTTTAAAAAATTATTCATCAAATAATGCCAATCATATAAATGCTGAATGGTGCACAAGTCTGGTTTTACAGAATTTTGCTACATTAGAATATTAAAAAGTATAAACAAAATATTAAAAATTATACCTAATGTGAATTTACAGGAGTAATAATTTCATACTAAATACACACTATCCTCTAATTTTGTTCGCTAATATTACAATACTTTCTTTATGTAATATTGCAAATAATTTTACTTGGAAAAAAAATGAAATAATTTAAAGTGGAGTTAGAATAGTTTGGTTCAACACAAGGATAGCCTGTGTCATGCTGTCCCTGTCAGCACCTTGTAAATGGGGTGAGCCCAGCTCTGAAAATATTTACTTAACAATGCAGTAATGTCTCACATCTCCCTGGGTGAGGCTTGCAACATTAACACTGAGGAAGTAACTGAGGGCCTAACAGCAAATAAAAAAGCCAACAAGTAACAGAAAAACTAAACTGTCATAAACGGCCTATTCACCAGGCTCCATTGGCCCTTGATTTCTACAAACCAGTTTATCTAACTCAGTTACTGGGTTCTCTAGTTACAGCAAATCTAAAATAGCAAGTTGGGGCAGAAGCAGATGAGGAGTAAGGCAGGATGAGCATGTCCATAGCAATGAGAACTGGCAGCAAGGAAAATCGGTAAAAACTACAAAACCAGAAATATCTATATATATCTAATAGTACAGAATCCCAACTACATAATACAAGCAACAATGAAATAAGATTAACAGCTGCCACCAGGTGGCTCAGTTGGTTGAAGCATTGTCCTGTAACACCAAAAAGTTTGTGGGTTTGACTCCTGGTCAGGGCACATACCTAGGTTTTGGGTTAGATACCTGGTCAGGAAGCATATGGGAGGCAACCAATCAATGTCTGTCTCTCCTCCCCACCCCCCCATCTTCCTCTCAATAAACATATCTTTGGGTATCTATAATAATAAAAGGGTAATATGCTAATTAGACCAGACGTCTTCTGGACTTCATTCTGGATGTCCTTCCTGACCAAGCTGGGCCGGAGGGAAGCCAGCCCGGTCCCGGGTGCCTGCGGGTGGTCGGGAAGCCGGTGGTGGCAGCTGGGGGAAGGAAGGTCTACTCTTGCATGAATTTTCATGCATTGGGCCTCTAGTGAGGATATAAAAAAAAAGAAGAAGAAGAAATAAGAATTACAGTTCCAGGACTGCACTAAAGTGAGGGCCTTAGGAAACCTTGTTATTCTGTGCATCATTTTCTTGTTCTGTATAACATGTTTTTCAACACAATATATCTGATAAGCTTTGTGTCTTTAGAAATGATATTTAAACATTTTTTTACTGATCATAAAAGAAATATATTGTACAGAATTTGGAAATGCTAGAAGTGTACAGAAAATTTAAATTGCCAATAACCCACCACCCAGAGATAACAATCATTTACATCTTGGTGGATTTTTTCCCCAGATTTCTTCACATATAAAAATGGAAATATATATTTTTGGTAACATTTTTATTAACCTTGCATTATCTGTGGGCATTTTCCCAACTCAAAAAGTCTTTGCAGAAATATTTTAATGACTACATATATAAAAATTTATTCTCTTGTCATTATGGACTTTGGTTGGTATAAAACATTTTATAATATATATTATACTGTACACATGACAAGTCATTTAAAAATTATTATTTATCAGATCTAGATACAGAAAGAAAAATGATCAGTAAAAAGCGTATCAAACACCAAGAAAAAATTTAAAAGTTGTGGTTTGTAAAACCAGGTTATCAAATACAGTATTTAAGTCCAATAAATAAACAAGACATTTAGAAAACTAAGTATCTAAATAAATTTTGGAAATAATCATTTTAAGTGATTTCTGATGCCAGCAATAAGAGACTTCCAATTAGGAGAATTCTGGATTACTATTATTAAATTACAACATGCTAGTGAAACAGCACCCATTAACAACTCATAGTCATTTTGCTCATTCATTCATTAAGCAAAAGAAATAAGAATTACGGTTTCAGGGCTACACTAAAGTGAGGGCCCTTAGGGAACCTAGTTATTCGGTTCTTGTTCTGTATAACATGTTCTTCAACATAATATATCTGATAAGCTTTGTTTAAGCAGCACCCATTAACAACGCATACTCATTCTGCTCATTCATTCATTCATCTACTATTCTATAGGCATTATGCTAGGCTGCATTAATATCAATATTAAGAGACTTCTTTGTAAAAGCCTTAAAAATAATGTAGCAGCATTTAAACATTTTAACAAATGAAAAAATTCACCTCAAATCCTACTAATCCTAATCCACTAACTGTATTTATTACCCAGTGTCTGTCTCGCCCACTAAACCGTGAGCAACTTGAGAACAAAGACTGCCACCACCTCTATATTTCCTCTATAAAAGAGAAGTTCAATGTAGGTTTGCCAAATGAGTTTACATTTACAATCCAAACTTTTTAAATCCTAATCTAAAAGCGCACATTTATACAAAGGAAATAATGTAGACACTATTTTTAATGATGCTGTTTTATCTTTTCCATGTTCCTATCAGTCTTCATAATCTTAATGCTGCATAATATCCCATCACACTTATATAATATAGTTTAGAAAACAATTATCCTAATATTGTCTTTGAAGCTTGTTTCTAGTGTTTTTATATGGTATAGCTAATGCTCCAGCAAATATACCTTGCTTTCTAAGTCTCACAGATTTACTTCTGACTGGAAAAATTGGGCTCAACAATAGGGGAATATAATCTTCTACAATAAAAGGGAATGTTAAAGAGATTTTTTTACCCCATAGGGAGAATTTAAAAGACAAAGAACACACATACAAAGAAACTCTTAGAATTCCTTTTTGCCAAATCAAAGCAATTTAAATAAATCCTCTATTAGGAAATGTGCTGTCCAAAGGAAAGTACGTTTTGTAGGACTGCTTCACACATATTTAGAAAAGATACTTCTCGGGGCAAGGAGTAAAAATTCTGAGGTAACAAACATAATGTCTACTTAAAACGTCAATGCTTTTGGAAGGAGGTGCACACTTTACCTCCACTTTCTTGGGTTCAGAGAACTTGCTCAGATCCTCAGGCTGAAGAAATGTAAGCAACTTAGGGCTTCTGAAGATGCCTTGATTCCCCTTTCCTTCCATTTATAGATCCTAAAGTAACATAATCCACCTGGTAATATACAAGCACTTAAGCGTTGACCTCTGAAGGGGCTTGTGAGAAAGCCAACTATATTTTAGAAATATGAGGCTAGTTCATATACACATTCATTTAAGAGAGTTGTGTTGAGCATCTACTATTATATCTCTGCAGTATGGGCCTCCAGTGATTACTGAAATAATAGACCACGTCTCCTTTGTCACTTTATTTGGAGGAAGGGAAGAAGAGAGAAAAAGCAGTTAACCAGATTATAATTTAATTGTGGTCCAAGTATGATTGCTAACAATCATCTCAAATGAGATAATATAATCTATAAAAGATACCTTCATTATAGGGAAGGGGGCCTTTGAAGCCAGCCAAAAGATATGCTCAACTCTGTAATTTTTTAAATCTTCACCCGAGGATATATTTTTATTGATTTTTAGAGAGAGAGAAGAAGGAAGAGAAAGAGAGAAATATCGATGGGTTGCCTCCTACAATGCACCCTGACCGGGAATTGAACCTACAACCGTTTAGTGTACGGGAGGACGCTCCAACTGAACCACCTGGCCAGGGCTCAAGTATGGGATTTTTTTTAAATGCTATTGAATGTATATTGTCTATGTCAAATTTTTCATGAAGCCCAGTGAAAAAACCCGTGTATAATTTTGTGTTGCCTGCTTTACAGTATTGTTTAAAACACACACGTAATGACTCGCCAAGACATAGAATTCACTTATTTGGAGCAGGAATTGCATAGGTGTCGCTGAGGCTATGGAGCCTCCCCTCCCTAGAAGTTCCATGCACAGTACATACCGCACTAACATTCCGCACCACACAAAAGCGCATACCATGACAAAGACTCCCAACGCACACACGCGCGCACACACACGCACACACAGCCATGCCTCTGAGGGCGCCCGCACGCCGCGCACAGCTGGCACTTGTGGCACCCTCGGCCGGCCCCCGAGGAGGCAGCTGTCACAGGCCGTCCCACGCCCAGGAGGCCAGCGGGCAGCTAAGAAAGCCGAGGTCATGATCCGCGAGCAAATCCCGCACCCAAGAAGGAAAAGCCCCAAAGCCCAACTTGAAAAGCACAAGGACTGCGCTCCCCAGAAAACTGCCCCCCAGCGCGACAGGCTGGAGATCCAGAAGCCATAGACACCAGCGCATAGCAATACCGTCAAGGGGGGGTGTCGTTGGGGGATCCCGAGAAAGAAGCCACCCCACCCCGTCCCCACGGAAGTATCTGCTGGGTGCACCGCCAGCGTTTTCCTGGGAAAGGAGAGCAAGGCGAGGGGGAGGCAGACCTGCACCCCCTCCCTCCCCTCCAGCCACCGCCCCCACCGCGGCCCTGCAGCCGGCGGCTCTCACCTTCGCTTTGCCCAACTCCAGCTTCTTCTGTCTCTCCTCGTCCTCCATGGCCTCTGCGGAGAAGGCTGGGGGGCAGGCAGAGAGAGGGCGGGGGAAGGAGGGAAAGGTCGGTTCAGGCGGAGGGGGCACCTCCGGCGCCGGCGCCGGGAGCCAGGCCGGCAGCGCTCCCCCCGGCGGAGTGGAACGGCTCCGCGCTCAGAGGCTGGCGGCCCTCGGGCGCCCGGGCAGCGCCGTCACCGCCGCCGCCATCTTCGTCTCCACGTAAACACACGGGGGGCGGGGGGAGGAACGTCGGTCCGCGCAGCCTCCGCGCGCCCGGGTGCCGGCAGGTGCGCCCGCCGCCCCGCCCTCCCCGCGCCCGCGGCCCCGCTCGGCGCCCGGGGGCGCCCACCACCCGGCCTGGAACCGGCCCGGAACCGGCCCCCACCGGCGCGGGGCGAGCCCCCTTCCCGGACGAACGCCCCGGGGCCGGCCTGGCTGCGGAGGTGGGAGAGGGGGTGTGTCCCGGGCGCCCGCGGACCCCACCCCGCGTCCCAGGGACTCTGGTCGCTTTTCAGACACGGAGATGTTTCAAGTTACAAAAAATAACAGGCCTGGTGATGGACGGTGAACACACAATACAGTGTACAAGTCTCACCCCGGTAAATCCAGTAAAAAGGGAGAACACCGCTGCAGAATGGGAGGGAATAATAGTAATAAAAATAACAGATGCCTAACGGTGCAATCGGTGACACTGAGAAACCCCAAAGGAAAAGATTAGGGGTGGGAGGAAGGGACCCAAGGGACCTCAGTTTTCAGCCTGGATTGACTCCCCGACTGGAAGAATTGGGAGTAGCCAGCAGCTCTCATCACTTCTTCTTCTTTTTTTTTTTTTAATTTTTTTATTGATTTCAGAGAGGAAGAGAGAGAAAGTCAACGATGAGAATCACTGACCCGCTGCCTCGGGCGCGTCCCCAGGAGGGGGCGGGGCCTGCCGCGGGGCAGGTGTCCTGGCGGGACCTCCCGGCTCCTAGGTTGGTGCTCGAACTCCCCTGGGGGGCTCATCACTTCTTCAGCTGGAAGTCCGTCCCCCCAGTCTCCGTTGGTCCTTCAAGGTTCACCTCACATTCCGCCCCGCATAACTTTCCTGATCTCTGTTCCCTCCACGCAACTGTGAGTAACATCACAACGTATAGCCCCCTCCCTCCTCCTTTCCCCTTAGCCATGGTGTCCTGGAAGGAGCCGAGGCTTGGAACCTTGTTGGGGACAAAGCCGGTGTACACTGACTTTCTAGCTTGAATGACCTTGAGCAAGTTACCCGTCCTCCCTGAGTTTACTTGCAAGTATGGGAAGGGTTGTTAATACATATGAGTTGACATATGTGACTGCCACTGGTGTATTAGAACGTCCTCAGTTAATGTCAGTTTTCTTTCTCTTTGTATTTTCTTTAGGTATCTGCATGATATTTTAATCATTTGTGCACTTTTTAGTTCACCTCATGCTCCCAACTCCTTGATACCAGAGACTGTCTTTCTCATCTTGGCATTACTAAAATGACTTGCACAGTCCTTTGCACCCAAACTCTTGTTAAATTAAACTGAACCGATGTAACAAATTAAGCATTACTCTTTCCTTTTTCTTTTATGTTCTCTCAATATTTCCTCTTTTCTCCCCACCCTTTCTTGGGGTGAACTACACATTTTTAAAAAATATATTTCTTTTTTGATTTCAGAGTGGAAGGAAGAGGTAGAGAGAGATAGAAACATCAATGATGAGAGAGCATCATTGATTGGCTGCCTCCTGCAGGCCACCTACTGGGGATCTAGCCTGAAACCCTGGCATGTGCCCCTGGCCAGAATCAAACCTGGGACCCTTCAGTCCACAGGCCAATGTTCTATCCACTGAGCCAAACTGGCTAGGGCTGAACTACACATTTTAAACTGATAAGAACAGATACTACACTTGATCTTAGCCAAAAGGCCGAGAAGCGATTGAACCAGATGTGAACTGAAATAAGTTTGAATTCAATCATAGAAAGGGTGTTAAGAGAAAATTGGGATTAAAAAATGAAAAGGAAGAAAGATCTCAAGTCTACCACAAACTGAAGACTAGTTTTAAGTAGCCCTGATTTAGAAATTCTTAGATTTGAAGATTTTTTGTTCTCAAACTCCATAATGCACACGTAATTGTGCCAGCTTGTAACACCCAAGTATACTACATTGTCTTGTTATCTTAACTTGAATTGGGAAGTGGGTGAGATTAGACATTTTATCATAGGAATAAAAGAACTGAGATAATTAAAGAAATAGTGATTTATTCTGTCACCCTCCAAGCTAAGAATAAAACTAGGACTAGAACTAAGTTTCTAATAGAGCAGTAATTTAAATACTGCCTGGATTAAGGGATTATGTTTGTAGGTTGTGATTGCCTAGGACTGTGGTCGGCAAACTGCGGCTTGCGAGCCACATGCGGCTCTTTGGCCCCTTGAGTGTGGCTCTTCCTAATATTTATTGTGTAACTGATATACCAAGGATTTTGATTGCTTCTTTTAAATTTTCTAAGTCTAGGATGATATATTGAGGATCTAGATACATAGTCCTATGGTAATAAAACTATGTTATTGTAACCTGGACCAAAATTATTAGGTGAAAACTTTCACCTATGATTTTTCTGCTAAACAAGATAGAATAATTATCTGCTGAGCTGTTTCACCACTTTGTCCATTTTCATGGCTTTGCTTCCCTGATTAGAAGACATTGCCAGCTACCATTTCCATTGAACATTTCCCACCATCACTTGCCATGCAAACTGCCTAAAACTGTGCTCAAGATCTTCCCTCCAGTAGCAATACTTCCAAACTCTATTTCAGTTAATGACTTTCTTCCAGTCTCCTCAACTTGAGATTCTGGAAACATCTTGTATTTCTTTCTATCTTGTCCAGCATATCTATCAGGCACACATCCTTTCATTCCCAAAGCCTCTTGATTCCTTCCCAGCTTTTTCTGTTCCACAGCCAACATAAAAGATTAGACTCTCATTATCTCATATTTTGAAAATTTTAGAAGACTCCAAGCTGGTATGTCAGCTTCATTCCTTCCCATTACATTCTAGTCTTCAAAACTCTGTCAGATTAACTTTCTAAGATTCAATTTTCACTAAGCCATCTCTCTATATAAAAGCTTACGCGACCGAATGGTCGAATGACCAATTGACCGGTCACTATGATGCGCACTGACCACCAGGGGGCAGGTGCTCAATGCAGGAGCTCCCACAGCCAACCTCCTGCAGCTGGCCAACCTCCTGCAGTTCCTCCCCCCACCAGCCAACCTCCCTTGGCCCCAATTGGCCCTGATTGCTGGTCAGGCCAAGGGACCCTTCCCATGCACGAATTCGTGCACCGGGCCTCTAGTTCCAATATAAAATGACTTCCTACTGCCCATAAAATGAACATCAAATTCCTAAATCCGACATTCAAGGCCTTCCATAATTTGCCTGTATTACTCTGTAGTTCTAACTCTAACTCCTCCCCCTAACCTATTCCCAGTTCTAGTCAGACAGGTGCTCCCTGGGCTCCCCAGGCCTTGATTGCTGAATCACATTTTACACAATGCCAGAAAATCCATACACATACAATTAAGGTTTTTTTTTTTTTTTGCAAATGTGACTACTGCCCTTTGCAATTAGGGTTGAAGTAAAGAAAAAGAAGACATTAAATGCTAAAACGAAAAATGTTTATTTTTACTTATTAGGGTAAAAATTAGAGATGAGAGGTATATACAGAAAATAAAAGTAGGCATAGTGGTGTATCTTCTACATTTTATAGAATAAAAATCAGAAGGCTTAAGAGGTTAATTGATATGTCCAACTTTCTATAGTCCTACCAAGTCCTAGTCCAAGATTCCCTGATTTAAGTCTTACTCCAATTTGCCAAGCTGCTTTTCCAAACAAAATGAGTACTTGAATAAATACAGAGTGAGGCAAAAGTAGGTTTACAGTTGTTTTTATGAAAAATGATACAATAATTAATCAACAATAATACAAGAATACACTGTGTTTAAAGTACTCACAACTGTAAACCTACTTTTGCCCCAACCTGTACATGCTTACAGAATGTATTAAAAATTTTAGGACATTTTTTGGTTAAAGGTTTTGGTTTCAAATGGTTATTCATGACTTATGACACTAGTACTCATTTAGAGTGACCTACTGAACCTAATGAAGAGTTAGAGAAATCTAAGGTGTTACTATTATCAAGATGGAATTGTAAACCTGCAGTCCAAGACATTGCAATTGGTTACTGAATACAATCTATACTAATTTCAGATCTTCAAGGATTTTTATACTTCTAAGCAGTGATAGAATATAAACTAAATGAGTTTTTCAAGAGTTATGTCATGTAGTTTTTGAGTCAAGAAACATTTTGTCTAAGTATGCAAGAAAATTTCAAATAATTTATCTTCCAGGGCCTCTTCTGTTTCAGCCATGCGTCTGTGAAATGCTAAATACTGACTACCCATATAATGCCCTTCTTAGGAAAATGCCTTGAGTTGCAATGGCTTGTTCTGAATTTAAGTGAAACCCGTCTTATTTATCCTGGTCTACAAATGTTTGGACCTCTGAAAAAACTGGACAAAAGGAGGCTGACCTCCTGTGAATTAGTGTAGAAAAAAAATCTAACCAATTTCAGCATTCCATTTTGAATGGTAATGTATGGACCTAATCACATTCTCTCTCTCTTAGAAAGTAAGATGCCTTGTGAACAAAGAGAATTTAGGCATGACTCCAATTTTCCATGAGACCTGGCCTGCTATACTTCCCAGTCTTGACAAACCCAGAATAACTCTATGACTCAGAAGATAAACTCTTGGGCTACCTTACATCTTGGCATGTCCTTTCCAAGAACCTCCACTGCCAAAGGTGACCTGAGTTTAAATTTTCTTTTCATCTCTAAGGTGCCTAACAGATAGATCTTATGTAAACTGCATGCATTTTAAAAATGAACAAAATAATATAAACTACTTGAATTTTTTTGCATCCCTGGGATTAATATATATTTTCATATTAATTTCTATTTCCCAATCCTTTATCTAAGAAACCAGGAATAGAACTCACCATTGTGAAGTAATTCTGAATAGTATGTTTATATACCCCTACGTGTGCATGTGTGCATAGCAGTCTATTAACCTTGATTAGATAGTCTCTTGGAATAAGCTATCAGCTAGTAATCATCACAAACTTCTTTTTTTTAAAATTAAAGGCCCGAAGTACCATTTGGAGCTCTGCAGCAATGATTTACTAAAAGCTACCTAAAAGTTTGAAAGCACTAATTGTGTCAGAAGGTATTGAACCTGACATCTATATTGACAAATAAACTGACATAGAAATTGTACCACTTTTTGAAAGAAAATATCATAAATTACTAATTTAAAATATAGAATCTCAATGTATACATAGATAATTATGACTTAGAATGATAAAGTTTGCTGATTTGCCTTTACAAGAGTGATTTTAATTTTTATCTTTAAATATTTCTATAGTAGTTTTAAAAATTTGATATTTTGTTAATATCCAGATTACATTTATTAATTTTTCGATTTTATACCTTCTACTACAGTGGTTCTCAAACACAAAGTGAATATGAATTTCATGGAGTGTTTATTAGAAATGTAAATTTCCTAGGTCACAGGTCTGAGCCAGACCTAAGGGACTCAGGAATACTGCACGTTTAACAAGCTGTCCATTTGACAGTGACACAGGTGGTCAGAGGGCAAACCTAGTATTATATACTGAATGCCCAAAACCTGCTCTTATAATAGCAGTAAATGATAATTCTACTTTATCTATTCTCAGGCTGATAATCTTGCAGTCACCATTGTTTCGTCTCTTCTCTCATAACTCACATCCAGTCCAATAGCAAAGTGTTAAAATATATCCATAATCCTGCCAGTTGTTCCCACTTCCACAAGTACCACCCTGAACCAAGCCACCATCATCTCTCACCTTGATTTTTACTTGGTCTCTCTGCTTCTACCTTTGCCTTCTCATAGTATATTCTCTACAGTAGTCAGACTGATCCTTAAAAAATGGAAATCACATCGTGTCATTTTTTCTTCGCAAAACCCTTTTTTAGCATTCCATATCATTCAGAGTAAACCCCCACAAGCTCATAACACCTACCAAATCTGGTCTCGGATCTTATCTAGCCTCTCTGCCTTACTGACTCTGACCTAGCCACACTGGCCTACTTGGTCTTTCTTCAAAAGGGCAAGCAGGTACCCAACTCAGAGTCTTTGCACTTGTTATTCCCCCTGCCTGAAATGTTCTTCCCTAGATAGCCAGACAGCTCGCTTTCTAATCCTTCCTGCATAATTATTGGCTTCTCAAAGAAGGCTGTTCTTGAATACCCTATTAATGTGTCCTCCTCTCAGATTTATCCCCTTCACTTTCTGTTATCACTTTCTAAAACTATACTAGTTGGATGTTGGACCTACTCCATTCCTTGCCTGGCTTCATTTATTTTTTATTTTCTTATTTCACAGCACTTGTTACTACCTGACATAATTTACTTTATATCTCTCTCCAATCTCATGCCATAAG